GACCACCCGCCGCGGCCGCCTGCCAGGCTTTCCTCAGGGACTCAGCGTATGCCAACGACCGGAAACGACCCGGCGACGCCCCGATCGCCCCGGAGAAGAGAGCTCAGGGCTCTGCTAGTGAAGCGCGATCTTGGGCAGAATCAGCCGCAGGCTCAGCCTCTGCAGTTGGTGCGGGCGGTCCGCCTGGCCCCGGGGGTGATGATGGCGGCACCTGCGGCCTGACTTGGAATGAACCTTCTTCCCCAAGGGCTTTTGAGTCTTGTCCATAGGATGGACCCTATCTCATTGCTGTGCAACTGGAAAGTTCAAACCTTTTTAAAAAATATGTTTTTACTGATTTCAGAGAGGAAGAGAGAGAGAGAGAGAGAAAGAAACATCAATGATGAGGATCATTGATTTGTCGCCTCCTGCACGCCCCCTGCTGGGGATTGAGCCCCAAACCTGGGCATGTGCCCCCGACTGAAATTGAACAGGGGACCCTTCAGTCCACAGGCTGATGCTCTAGCCACTAAGCCAAACCAGCCAGCGTGAATATTGAAAGCTCTCAAGTCCTGGCCCTGGCCGTGTCACCTCCCCATGCTGGTGGATCCCTGGTCAGGACATACGCACGATGCCACCGGGGAATGCAGGAATAAGTGGAACAGCAAATGGATGCTTCTCTCTCTCCTGTTCTGTTCGCGGGGCTCTCGGGAGTGGTGGGCAGATTGGCGTCCTGCAGGCTGGCCATCAGTGTTCTGCCAGGTCTGTCTGCCTGAGGACGGCCCACAGGCTGCCCCTACCTCACACCAGCCACGAGCGGAGTACCCAGGCTACCCACATCTTTGCCAGCAGACTACACATTTGAGGATTCCCAAGACCTTCCCACGCCGGGTTAGAAAATTCCATGAAATAACTCACACAACTCAGTGAAGCTCTTTACTTACGATCATTGGTCGATTATAAAGGTCACAACTTGCAAGAAATGCACAGGGCGCCCAGCTGGTGTGGCTCAGTGCACAAGGCCCCTTCCCCAAGTTGCAGGCTGATCCCCAGTAGGGGGCATGGAGGAGGCAGCCCTTTGATTCTTATTGTTGACTAGAGGCCCAGTGCACGACATTCGTGCACTGGAGGGGGGGTTTCCCTCAGCCTGGCCTGTCCCCCCTCACAGTCCAGGATTCCTCAGGGGATGTCTGCCTGCCAACTTAGGCCCGCTCCTGGTAGTAGGACATCTCCCAAGGGGTCCTTAAGCGCTGCCATGGAGGCGGGAGAGTCTCTCGCCATCGCTGCTGCGCTCACCATCCACGAGCCCAGTTTCTGGCTGAGCAGCGCTCCCCCTGTGGTAGTTCACTGACCACCAGGGGGCAGCTCCTATGTTGAGCGCCTGCCCCTTGGTGGTCAGTGCATGTCATAGCACGGGTTCCACCATTCAGTCAATTTGCATATTAGCCTTTTATTATATATGACTAGAGGCCTGGTGCATGAAAATTTGTGCACGGGAGAGGAGTCCCTCAGCCTGGCCTACTCCCTCTCACAGTCCAGGAGCCCTCAGGGGTTATCCTAAGCTACAGTCTGGCCTCCCTTTGTGGGAGGTGACCGGGCTGATCGGGGAAGGCAATGCCCCCATTACACTGCCAGCCACCATGGCTTGCCTGAGCCTTAGCCCAGCCCTGGCAGCAGCAGCCACTGCAGCTTTGTCCAGAAGGACGTCCGGAAGACATCTAATTAGCATATTACCTTTTCATTAGTATAGATGTTTCTGTCTCTCCCTCTATCTTCCTCTCTGAAATCAATTTAAAAATATATATATAATTTTTTAAAGAAATGCACAAGGCAAGGCAGGGAGGGTGTGTTGGGGCTTCATGCCCTCTTTGGGCCCACTACCCTCCCAGCACCTTGTGTGTTCACTGACCTGGAACCTCTTCAAACCCATGGTTTAGGGGCTTTTATGGAATCTTCATCAAAAGGCAAGGTTGATTAAATCATCAGTTCTTGGTGATGGGCTCAATCTCTAGCCTTGGCCCCTTCCCAGAGGTCAGGGTACCAGCAGCTGTCCTGACACTATCCAGGAACCCACCCAGAGTCATCGCATCACCGTAAACCCGAGTGTGAAAGGGAACTGTTCTGAATAAAGAGACAGTCCTACCAGGAGATTCCAAGGGCTGTTGGAGCTGTGCCGGGAAGCAGGGACAAAGACCAAATCTTTATGGCTACACCACAGTCGCTTTTCTGTGCTGTGGCTCTCAGGTTCGGAGGAAACCAGGATATGGGTGGCTGAGCATTTCCCAGGCACTTGTGGGTTTGCCTGGCCCAGTCCTCCTCTGTGCTATGGGTGCTCCTGACCCCTCGTAGCTCAGGCTGGAGAAGCCCCCAGTAAACTTTCAAAGGTGCCGTGGGCTCCGGCCGGCCAGCAGCCTCTCAAGCCCACGGCATCAGAGGTCGTGGGTATTGTTTTCAACAGGCATTAATTTATTAGGTGTAGGGAGTGGCTCTAGGGTCAAGCCTTAGGCTGACCTGTGGCAGGGCCACAAACAAGTCCCAGCCTGGAGAGCAGAGCCCTCCTGGCACAATTAAGCCTGACCGTGTAGCCCTCCCTAATTCCTTCCTAAGTAGCTAATGGGCGGTGGGAGGTGCAGCAAGTGTTGTGAAAACAAGAACGTTGGTGTACATGTTCATCTTGTTTTAATCAGACTACAAAATAAAGCACCGGCCTGCAGGCTGGGTCTTTTGTGTCCTCATCCAGGCATGGGAGATCCACCAAGCCCCAGCTGTATTCTCTTGTCTGTGTTTTCTTCAATCCTTCACCGTCCCTCCTCAGGTGCACCCTTGACCGTGCTGGCGCAGCACAATTAGGCATCGAGAAATGGTTATTTTCTAATCCACTGGCATTTCTTAACAGGAATTCTTTTTTTTTTTTTAATATTTGTATTGATTTTAGGGAGGAAGGGAGAGGGAGAGATAGAAACACCAGTGATGAGAGAGATACCCTATTTGGGATCAAGCCTGAAATCTGGGCATGTGCTCTTGACCAGAGTCAAACTCAGGACCCTTCAGTCTGCAGGCTGATGCTCTATCCAGAGTCAAACCAGCTAGGGCTGGGATTCTTTTATTTTAAAAAACTTCTTCATCAGTTATTTAATCCCTTCAAAATACAGTTGAATAAAATAAAACCAGATAAAATGTTTGACATTCTGTTATTTGTCAGTATTTAGAATGAATTAGTGCCCAAGAGCCCTCCAGAGGTGAACATTGGATATTCTTTACTGTTGTTATGAAATCTTTTTAAAAAAAATATATTTTATTGATTTTTTACAGAGAGGAAGGGAGAGAGATAGAGAGCTAGAAACATCGATGAGAGAGAAACATCGATCAGCTGTCTCCCGCACACTCCCCACTGGGGATGTGGCCACAACCAAGGTACATGCCCTTGACCGGAATCGAACCCGGGACCCCCCAGTCCGCAGGCCGACGCTCTATCCACTGAGCCAAACCGGTTTCGGCTGTTGTTATGAAATCTTGAGTGTTTATTCAACAAGGACAAAAAGAGATTATTAACACATTAATGGTAACTTGAATGGTGTGTTTATGATGGATTTGTACATTTAAAAATTGGTATGCTTAATTTTTATTAGATATTAACTTACTATTCTGCTAAAACATTTTACAACTGTTTCTGCAACCTGCATAGATAACAAAAATTAACTCTGTCCTAGCTTGGGCTAAATGATCACCGACAAGTTGATGTATTTAAAATTAACGAGATTACCTTCTGGTTTTCTTTTTATATGAAAATCTTTAATGATGCATATTTATTGCTATTCCCCTCCCCCAATAGTCAGTTGATCCCAGGGTGACTTGTTAATAATAACAGCTCATTAAAGTAAACCATGTAAACATTTATGAAAAATATAGCCATCTTTAATTCCGTAACATAAAAATGTGTGAATAATGCTCATAGCAGCATTATTCTAATAACCAAAAAGTGGAAGCAACCCGAACGTCTAGCAGCTGACGAGTGGAGAAACAAAACATGAGGCATCCATCACAGGGGATTCGGCAAAAGGACTGAGGTACTGACTCGTGCTATAAAGCGGACAAACTCAGAAATCCTTAGGAGCCCTGGCCGGGGGTCAGGTCAGGTGGTTAGTGTGCTACGCGAACGGAAAGCTAGATGAAAAGGTCCCACGGCGAACAATTCTGATGTTGGAAATGCCCAGAACAGGGCAACCCAGAGGCTGAGCAGCCCAGTGCCCACCTGGGGAGAGGGGAAGGGGCTGAGCGGTGATGAGAAGATTCTGGAATTGGAACGTGGTGGTGGGTATGTGACTGAATACAGTAACATCACTGAGATGTACACTGAGGGGAAAACATACCTTATTAAAGGTCTCATTTCAAAAGCCTGTAGGAACGAGGATTTCACCTGACTAGTGCTGGGAAAACGATGGTGTGTATTATCAGCCTTTTGTGCCCATTGAATGTTTTATTTTTTAAAATCTTTATTGTTGAAAGTATTACACATGTGCCCCCCTTCCCCCATTGGTCCCCTCTCCCCCAATGTTTTCTTTCAATTGAGCATCTTTTTCTAAAACAAGGATTTCACATTCTATGCATTGAAAGCCCACTCCACATCTACTTTGGGGCACTGTCTATGGGTGTCACCCTTGGGAGGCCCCGAAAGCTGGCCGCAGCCTGTACCAGGGCCCCTTCCTTCGACACCAGCCCCTCCAACCAGCCACACCAGGGCCCGGCTTGTGCCAGCTTCCAGCGTCCTCACCTCAGGGCCTTTCCGCTGCCTGTAAAGCTTCCCGCCAAACGTCCACAGCCTCCCACTGTCTGGCAGTTCTTGTTCCCAGTTGTTTCCTGGAACCTGAAGATGGGGCCTAGACCTGCTCCCCCAGGTCCTGAGGAACCACCCCAGCTCCCCACCCCAGTGGCGGGCACTTGCAGCACTTATGGCCTCTGGCTGGGGGACCTCACCCCTCCATCAGGTGCCGACTTTAGCTTCTGGACAGCAGGGAGCAAGATGACCCCACTTCTCCTGTCAACACTCCCAGCACAGTCTCCTTCCTGGCCTGTGCCCGCCTCTGCCTGGATGACCCGACCTGTTACATCCACCCCTTGGGCCACAGCAGCCCACGCCAGGCTCGGCTGCTCCCCGGGCCCTTCAGTGCCCAGCGTAGCACAGGCTGCAGCGTGGCAGCCACTGGCTCTGTAGGGACAGGGCCACCCTTAGTCACACCGTGGCCCCATGGGGACTGGGAGCAGCCTGAGCTGCAGGCTGCCTCCAGGAGGGGCCTGGCCGAGCATGCTTGGGGTCCCCCTGACCTGCATCCACTGTGCTCTCAGCCCGCTCTGTTCTGTTGGAGGGTGGTGAGAGGGGCATGTGTGTCTACCAGTTCCTGGCTCTGCAGGTCACATTTGCCAGCCTCCACCAGCACCATCAGCACAGGCAGAGGACCTCCATGCCCTGCTCCACCCTGGCAACCAGGAAGGACACAACGAAGGGAGGATGTTGCAGTCAGAGCTGCCAACGCCAGGCTCCTGAGCAGCGGAGGAAGGGGACAAGTGAGCAGCCACCTGCAATCTGGCAGCAGCACAGGTGGCCACCCCACCTCACGCAGCAGGCAGGTGACAAGTGGTTACAGGAGCAGGGACCGCTGCCCCACGTTCCCCTACTGCCCAGGTCAGCGGGAGTGCCAGGACCCCTGGGACATCAGAGAGGCAGCCACCACTTCCCCAGCACCAGCGCCAGCCTGCCAGGACACCAGATGCCAGCTTGGCTGCTCCCCACCTGCCCTGTGTTCCTCCCTCCCTCCCGGTCAGCACCAAGTGTGGCCCAGGCGAGGGCTCCAATGACGAATGAGAGCTCCAGTTCTACACACGTTTCTGTTTATTATGGCAAAGGTGAAAACACCACCTCCTCCACAACAGCAACCAGTAAAATTTATCCCAAAAATAACTCGGTACAAAACAGGTCTGTTTCAGAATTTTTTAAAAAAAAAGAAAAAAAAGGAAAAGAAATCTTTACATGAGTTTTAAATCCTATTTTAAAACAAGAAACAACTCCATCATTGGCCACAGGGCCCCGCCAGCCCGCCCTCGGGAAGCAGCGCGAGACGACATCCAGGCCTAGCTCCAAGCACGGATTTGCTGGTGCTTTAGCTGGTGTCCATCTGAAACAGGAGAAAAGAGGTCAGAGAAGGTCCCACCCCCCAAAAGAGGGGGCTCCCCACCCTCATGCTAGGCCAGCCCCCAGGACCCCTGGCCACTCACCCTCGCGTTGTAAGCGTCCAGCTGGGCATCCAGCTCCTCCGCAGAGATCTGCTGCTTTGAACTCCGGCCGGTACCCCTGCCTCTGCCCCGGCTGCCTCCACGGGCGCCTCTCCGAGTGCCGCTGCCGAAGCCTCCAGACCCTCGGGTTCTGGTCATCCCGCCCCTGTTGGCGCTCTGCACCGGCCTGCGCTGCGTGTCTATCTGTGAGGTGACGAGCTGGATGTTCATGGGGCGGCCTGCGGCAGGAACACAAAAGGGCACTCCCATCGGAGCCTGAAACCCACGGGCGACCCCAATGCCACCACCCAGACAGACAGCCGGGCCCCACTGGGAGGAGCAGCACCGAGGGTAGCCTGCCAACGCCTCCTCAGCCCGGCTCAGGCCAGCGTCGCTCACAGTGGAAAGGTGGGGGCCCCTGACACCCTCAGCCCACCCACAGAGCAAGCACCACAGTGCTTCTGGAAGGCGAGGCTGCGGGAAGGAACGTAGCTTGCTGGATGGGGATCACAAGAGGTGGGTCCAGATGTGGGGGCAGCAGAGGGTGGCAGAATGAGAGACAAGGAGGTGACGGCAAAGTGTCCTCAACGGGGAGGGGGAGGGTGTAAGCATACAGGTGCCAGCCCTCAGCTCCCTGGTCCAACCCCAAACGCACCATCCAAAGGGACGCCGTTGTACTGTTTCATGGCTTTCAGGGCGTCTGCCTTCCGCTCAAAGTGCACGTCGGCTGTTCCCAGGCTGCGGCCAGAGCGGTCGTAGTGCACGGCGGCCTTCTTCAGAGTCCCGAACTCCGCAAACAGCTCCTGGAGTCAGGAAAAAAAAAGCCCCAGCCACACCTGTTCCCTCCGGCGGCTGGGGGACAGCCCCGGGAGTGTCAGCTACTTGGAGGGCGCTTCCCTGGGTGGCAGACGTACAGGTGGAGGGCAGGACAGTGGGAGTGGGATGTGGGGAAGGACGGGCAGGAGAGACAGCAACTTCCAGGAAAAGCTGGGCCTGAGGGCTCCTGCCAGCCTGGGGGCCTGACATCTACCACAAGCCCCTGTGAGGGGCACCCATGAAGTCGCTGTCTTCTTTGACAAAGGAGTTGACAACACACCCGAGAACAGTGCCAACCATCAGCAAAGGCCGAGATCACAGAGCCAGGGACACCACCTGCCATGTGCCCCAGCTCCAGGGCCCACTGGTTTGGGAGTCCTGCCCAGCCCCCCGGGGCAGGTTCTGGCTCACCTTTCCCTCTCCTCCTACTCAAGCCTGCCGCAAAGTCTCAAGTCAAGCGCTGCCATGGGAACTGCCCTGGCCTCAGGCAGGCTGGGAGTTGGAGAGGGAACCCAGAGTGTGGGGCTACTCCGGCCGCAGGCACAGCGGGAAGAGGAGGTCACCAAAAGCGGTTTCCAGTGGATGCCAGAAACCACCTTGAAAAGAGTGTTGAGACACTGTGAGTGCTCACCGGCCTCGCTCTGTCCTCCCACAGCTGAGCTCGGGGACACGGAGCCCAGGACGGCCCAGCACCCTGACCCGGCCATCTCTACGCCTGACCCCCGCGGTGCCATCACTGAGCCACAGGACAAGTTTACGTCCCTGTGGGACTCAACCCATAATAATAACTGAAAACGATAACAAACCTAGAGGCTTCAACCAAAGGGGGGTCTGAAATGCGGGCGAGACTGGAGGGTGGTGGGAAGGGAGACAACAGGTACAGACACAGGGCTCAGGCCAACACCAGGGACAGGCGCCATCCCGCCTCCGCAGACCGCGGAGACGGACGAGTACAGCGAGCAAGCAGCCTCGCTCCACGCAACACGGGGC